GAGAAGAGAGGGTTCACGGGTTCCATTAATTTGGTAGGTGGAACGGTGAGAGTAAAAGAGTTTCAACTTCCAAGAAGTTGAAAGGTGGAAGGAATCTTTTACCAATTACCAATTACCAATGAGTTGAAACTGTTCCAATTTGAAAATTAGTTTCGTTTGGTTTGAGAAACATAACTGTTTTAGTTTGGCTAAGCCCAAAAGAGTGGCCCAAGAAGAACAGAAAGCTACGTACTAAAGGGAAATTATTCCTATTGGGTTCTCAAGGCCCAAAATAAGACTATCATTTTTCATTCCCTATAGTTCTAATTTCTACTTAGGATGAGGTAGCACCAAAACAAATGTGAATATTATTTTTTTTAAAGAAAAGTGGTACTATTTTTCCAAAGTCCTGTACATTTTTAAACATCCTAGGGACCAGTACTTTTAGAGCTGGTTGGAAATGAATTAAGGACTGAAGCTTAGTTTAAGAAGGCAGATTTTGTAAAGTACCTGAATCGGAGATTTCCAATTTTAGTACCAAAACTGAGATATCCGTCTTCCATTGCTTTGAGCTTATCAATAATTCATTGCCAAAAACAATTGTTAGCCAAAAACTAGTTGAGTTTCCCCCCGTGATATTTTTCCCAACATGAACAATCCGTTATCCTTTACCTCGTATCGATGACTTATTTGATCAGCTTAGAGGATCCATTGTGTTCTCTAAGATTGACTTACGGTTAGGATACTGTCAAATCCTTGTTATGAAAGATGGACAAACTGACAATCAAGAATCGCTACCCTTCACTACGTATAAATGATTTGTTTGAAGAACCTGTTTGTTAGAAGCTATAGACAGCTCGACCTTGTTGAATAAACTGATGCCTTTCATGAAGCGATTAATGACTTAATTGCTTATCGTCAAAAACGTCGATGTAACCTGATTGAATAAGTGAAGTAAAGTGATGCTAACAAGACAAATCGATTGATTCGTTTGACGTAAAAGATCGCGACATGGTGACAATACAGAACGAGACGTAAAACAGTAACACCAACAGTGAAAGACTGAAGAATGAAGAAAATGTAGCTGCATTGACCATACAGCTTAGAATAATATTTATGACTAACTCGTAATGTTCAAGGACGATATTATTTCAACATGAATGCAACTTAGATTACATGAGGAAAGTTACAGATGCAATTCTAAGTCTAATCTCTCAGGATTTGCAAACTCGTCGTAACCGGCTCCAGGACCCGGGAAAGCCTTATCAAACTCTAGTTTGTCTAAAAGCTCGTCAACAAAGAAAAAAGAAATAAAAAGTTTCCTCTGACTGGAAGCCATGAAGTTCTGTCTCACCGCATCATCTAAGAATTTGAGAAGGTTATTGAAATAACCGTCAATGTTTAAAAGACCAATGGGTCTATTGTGTAACCCTTCAGAAGCCCACGAGATCAAGGTAAACAAACCTTCCATAGTGTCAACTCCTCTGGGAAGAACAATGAAAGCTTCCCCGGCATGATTCATCTCAAAATATTTGTAGTAATTGCTGGAAACTGTGTGCTCTACACCATACGTAGGTCCATAGACCCGTCGAGTTGCTATGTACCCAGGAATGAAACCTCTAACGAGACCACCATTGGTAAAGACTGTTGAAGCAACAGCTCCTTGAAGGCCAACACTACCTCCTCCATAGGCAAGTTTAATTTTTCGTCTTAACAATTCCCTTCCTAAATCTACCGCAGTAGCCACAAACTTTGGATTTCTACCAAGAGAATGACTACCAAGTAGACCAACGAATCTTATGGTGTAAGGAAGTGTTCGAGAAGTTCCTTCCATAATGTGAGAATGTGAGATACTCTTTCCATAATCGTGATATATATAGTCTCTGAAACCTGACCATTGATGGAAAAGTAATTATCACCCGCCAAAATACGTACAGAAAAGTAAATTCGCTTCAACTATCTACAGACGAAAGTGTACTCATCAATACTGTAGTCTCCTGACGATGTGATATATTGAGACTAATGAATAGTTAGATTCGATGTCCTGAAATATGATCAAATCCGAGACGAAAAGTCAAAATGACTATTTCTAAGACAACGACCCCTTGAGTAATTTCCAAAGAGTGAAACATTGAAAGAAGAAAATCTACGATTAGTAACGGCAATTCGCAAACGCTATCTTTATATCTCGTGACTCATATCCTTGAATTACTCAAACTTGATGTGTTAACTACACTCTTGAAACATCTCGCTTGATCAATCTTGAAAAGATTGAATTCCATTGTTGTATCAAAATATTAAACCCTTGGGAACTTGTCTTAATTCATCAAGATAC